GGAGGAGAAGGAGGAGGAGGAGGAGGAAAAGGAGGAGGAGAAGGAGGAGAAGGAGGAGAAGGAGGAGGAGGCGGAGGAGGAGGAGGGAGGAGGAGAGTTGGATGAGGTGGTGAGGATCAGGAGGGCGAGCCTCGCCCTCCTGATCCTCGCCCTCCTCACCTTCACCTGCGGCACCACCGCCTCCCGCCCAGTTTCCTTTTCTCCAGAAGCACACGCCCCTTCTCCGATATACTGAAACTCCCGATCAACCGCAGGGCGACCGCATAGTTGCTTTCTGTTTGTGGAAAGGCAGGGGCCTTGCCGTCAAGAAGGCCCGTCGCAGTCGTCGTCGTCGTCGTCGTCGTCGTCGTCGTCGTCGTCGTCGTCGTCGTCGTCGTCGTCGTCGTCGTCGTCGTCGTCGTCGTCGTCGTCGTTGCGATCGTCGCCGTCTGCGGCGGCTTCTGACGCTGAGCCTCTGGAGAAGATGGTTTCGTTAACGACGGGGTGACGTGCTCGCTTCGGTGAGTGGCGCAGCGGGGCCCAGCCCCACTGCACATCGAGAACGGGGAAGAAGCATCGCCAGCGTGAGACAGGAGAAGGAGGAGGAGGAGGACGCTCGTTCCTGCCCTGGCAGGCTCCCGGGTTCACCGCATGCTTCGCGTGCTCTCTTTCGCTTTCGCTCTGGCCTTGTCCTGTCTCGTTTTCCCTTTCCTGGCGGGTGTCGCTTCGTGCACATCATCCTGACTCCAAGTCCAAAAAGGAGGACGCTCCGTAGCCATTTTGGCTCAAGGCCATTCTGGCCCCTGCGGGGAGGGCGCTCCCCACAACCCGTGGGAGGTGGAGCCGGCCTGGACAGCGCGCCGTGCGACATGTTCGCCACGAAGTGCTTAACAATCCACGTGAACACCATCGAGATCGACGTGAAACATCTCGAAATCATCAGAAGCCGAGGCATACTGCGACTACAACATCAAACACCAGCTGTTGAACCACAGTAGGGCGACGAAATCTATACATATCCACTGCTCCCTGGCCAGGCCCATCCTCAACCCCGCAGCGGTGTATACGCCACGCCCTCCTGGCTTGGCCAGGAGGGCGCATACACAGCTCCTGGGTTCAAGATGGGCATGGTCAGGGAGCAGTGGATATGTATAGATTTCGTCGCCCGACACAGGGCAACGAGACTTGCCCACCGCTGTGGAGACGCACCTGCAAGGATGCCGAGACCATATACGCATGGAAGCACCTGGGCGCGAACAAACGCGGCTCAAACACGAGTGGCGCGCAACGTCTGGCACGGGATACAGCCTCCTCCCGACGACATCATTATCATTGCTACGACTGCCCTCGCGAGAGCGTCTAAGCACGAGCTGTGCAACAGACAGCCCCAGTGCCAGAACCGCTGCGCAATGTGCAGCCCAAGTACGAGAATGAGCTGCGTAACAGTCAGCCCAATGACGAGTACCACCACCACTCCGACACCAAGTACGCCACCAATGCCAACACCAGGAAAGACACGACCGAACAGCCCGAAAGGGCTACTAAGTACGGGCATTCATCACCTAGGCAAGGCGTAGGGTAGGCCTAGGGGCAGGCCCTGGGGCATGCCTAGGGTAGGCCTAGGGGTGGGCGTCCTAGACCGATCCCTCGGGCCTGACCCTGGTTTACCCTTAGGGCCCACTCTAGGCCGACCCTTGGGCCTCTATGCCCAGGGCTACCCTGCGCGTTTCCCCAGGGCTACCTTTTGGGCTGCCCTAGGCCTTGCCCCTAGCCCCGCAAAGGCTGTGCCTTTTGAATAGGCCTTACCCTTATCCTACCCTAGGCCTTCGGGTAGGGCCTACCGTTGCCCTACCGTAGGCCCTTCGGTAGGGCGGGCCTACTCTTGCCCGTCCCTAGGCCCTCGGGTAGGGCCGACCCAATGCTACCCGAGGCTCCTGGGCAGGGCCTACCAGCCTACCTAGGTTATCCTAGGCCCTTGGGTAGGGCCTAGGGTATCCCTCCGCCTGGGCGATCTATATCTAAGTACGACGTTGTGGAGGTATTGTGCCAGTGGACAACGGCCGCGCCGCCCACGACAAAACGCCTACGGCCGCGCCGCCTACGATGAGTGAGACAACGAAAATGCGGTTCGATGGCGAACTGCGTTCCTACGACCACCATGCGACGGGCAGCTGGACTACGACAGCGGCTAAGATTACAGGGACGCCCAAAACGTGGAACACTACGATTCCGCAGCCGATGACTCCAATGCGGGCCTCGGGGACTACGAAAGAGCGTGCCCTCTGAGCTGCTATAGCCACCAGCAGAGCTACCAGGGCCACGAAACGAACACTCGGGGACAACACGCTGAACTACGAGGACCACACGCACAGCTACGAGAGCCACAAGAGCTTCAATATCCACCTGCCGAGCAAAGAGAGCCACCAACAGAGCCACGTGAGCCACAAGCAGAGGTACGAGGACCGCGAGCTGAGCTGCGATAAGCAAGGCTACGCGGGCCACCTAGAGGGCTACTTAGTCCACTTCCTGAGCTCCGAGGGCCACACCTAGAGCGACTACCGCCACCAGCGGAGCTTTCAGGGCCACCAGACGACCTTCGGGGACCACACACTGAATTACGAAGACCGCACGCACAGCTACGAGAGTGACCAGACGAGCTTCAAGACCCACCTGCCGCGCTACGGGAGTCACCAGCAGAACCACGAGAGCCACAAGCTGCGCAACGAGGGTTACAAGCTGAGCCACGAGGACTACATGCAAACGCTTACGGGGGCCACCAAAAGAGGTTCAAGAACCACCGGCCGTGCTACAAGAGCCACAAGCGGAGCAACGAAGACCGCAAGCTGAGCTACGAAAGCCACGAGGACTGTCTGCTGCGCTTCGAGGGCCAGCAGCTCAGCCACGAGGACCACCAGCTGAGCTACCAGAGGCACCAGCTGTGCTACGAGGACCACAAGCACAGCTACGAGAGCTGCGGGGGCCACAACCAGAGCTACGCGGACTACGCTTCAAGAAGCCAGATGAGCTTGTGGGGCCACCAGCAGAACTCCGAGAACCAAGAGCTGAGCTACACGGAGACCGAGCAGAGCTTCTAGCAGCCGCAGCTGGGCGACCTGGGCACGCTACAAGAACCACCCCCTGCTCCTCAAAAGCTGCCAGAAGAGCTTCGAGAACCACCAGTAGAGCTTCAAGGACCACCAGCTGAATTGCCATCGCCACCAGAACTACCTGGGCCAACAGCTGAGCTGCGAGGACTGCCAGCTGAACTACGAGGACTGCAACTGGAGCTACCTCGGCCACCAGCTGAACTACGAGGGCCACCAGCGGAGCTGCGAGGGCTACCAGCAGAGCTCCGAGGGCCACCTGAGGGCAACATGCTGAGCTACGAGGGCAACTAGTTGGACCACCTGAGCTGCGAGGGTCACGAGCTGAGCTTCGAGGTCGGCAAGCCGAGCTACGAGGACCGCACGCTTGGATACGAGGACCACCAGCTGGACTACGAGGGCCACCAGCAAGGTTCCAAAGGCCACAGGCTGAGTTACGCGGGACACCGACTGAGCAGCAAGGGCCTCCATCAGAGCTACCAGCGCCACCAGCTGAACTACAAGGTCCACAAGCTGAGCCTCTAGAGCCCCCGACAAAACTACGAGGACCACCAGCCGAACTACGGGGGCAACAAGCTACGAGGGCCACGGGAGGAGGACGAGGAGAGCGACAAGCAGAACGAGCCCATCTTCATCCTGTACGCGTCTCTCCAAGGGCTGGACTTCCTCAGGACCATCATCGCCGAGGGGCAGGCTATCACAGAGGCCTTCGCCATCAGGGCCATATCAAAAACTCACGAGCTCCGCGCACAGCAGGCCCCACGACACGATCGCGCCCATAGACATGGGCGGCGACCGCCACGACGAGGACGGGGACGCGGTGATCCGCGCGCTGGGCCTCTCAGGAGCCATCAAAGCGCTCTTGTCCGCTCGCGACCGCTGCGAGGCGCGCCAGAACGGGATACACATAGGCCATCGACCCACGCAGATCCTCGCCGCAGAACTTCTACGACGACAGGAGGAAGACGAGTGCGACGACGAGGACAACGAGAGCGACTTGGAGCAGGAGGAATGTAGCGAGAGGCACAACACCTATTCAAACGAAAACAGGTGGAACGCTGAGTATTACGACCTGGCAAGCGACGGTTCCAGGGAGTCATGGCGAGACAGGCATGCCTGAAGCCAGGGAAGATTACGAACTATTGCGGCGCTCCAGACAATGGTATTACGTGCACGTACCACGTCTACAGCACTACAGACAAGGTACCCCGTGCACAAGGGTATCGCCAAGGTACTACGTCTAGGGAAAGTACATCTGCTATGGTTGAGTGGCCCCGCCGCGCCACCCACGTGCATTCATCCCCCGGTGGCCTCAGGATTGATGATGGAGTTGGGTGGCCCTCCCTTCCCCCCCTCCCGCGGACAGGGTGCGCCTCGGCCCCAGGCGCCGCGCCGCGCGCGGCGCGGGCTTCACGGGCGTGGACGCAGGGGACGGCCGAAGCCGCTGTGAGAGAGAGGTGGAAGAGAGGAGGAGGAGGAGGAGGAGGAGGAGGAGGACGAGGAGGAGGAGGACGAAGAGGAGGAGGAGGAGGAGGAGGAGGAGGTTGACGACGACGACAAGTGGCGAGGAGAGGCCTCTGAGTCGCGACCTCACCAGGCCCCAAAGGCGGACGACGACGAAGACGACGAGCTCTGACATCTGACGACGAGGGTTTCTCGATCAGCGCCCCCAAGGCCTCGACCACTTCCCCCGGGGCGGCCTTTCGCCCCAGATCCGTTGTTGATGGCACCAGGGCCTGGCAGAGGGCACCAGAGGCCGAAACCGAAGAAGCTCGCCAGGATTGAAAAATCACATCGTCGGAGATCTGGGAGCGGTGTTGCGGTGGGTCGCGCGTCCACCCCACACACATGTCCAAAACATTGCGGTGGATAAGAAATAACATCACAATATGGGTGTGGTGAGGAGAGACCTCTGAGGCGCGACCTGACCGGACCGGTGAGGCGGGACATCCCGGGGCACCCGGACGGCGGCATTCACGAGCACATCCCCAGGCGGGCACGGGTTGGCGGCCTCGGGGCGCCCCTGGCGGCAGGTTGACATCCTTGCCGCTCCTCCTCATCATGCTCTTCTTCCTCCCACTCCCTCCTCATCCTCCCCCCCCTCCCCCCCAGAGGAAGAGGAGGAGAAGGAGGAGGAGGAGCCGGAGGAGGAATACAGAGAGCAGGAGGAGGAGAAGAAGGGTGAGGAGGAGAAGGAAGAGGAGACGGAGGAGGAGGAGGAGGAGGAGGAGCAGGAGGAGGAGGAGGAGGAAGAGGAGGAGGGGGAGGAGGAGGGGGAGGAAGAGGACGAGGAGGAGGAGGACGAGGAGGAGGAGGGGTCTCACTTCCCTCCCAGGGCACTGTCGTTCCTGTGCCCATTGGGCTGAGTAATAAGACCTCGGTCCCCCGTCCATCCCCCAGGCTAGTCGGCGAATACGGCGGCTTCTTCACGATCAAGGTGACATCGGGTTTTTCCTCCTGCTCCTTATCCTTATCCTCCGTCTCCTCCTTCCCGTTATCGTCCCTCCTCATTCTCGTCTCTCATTCTCTCCCCCCCATTCCCCTCCTCCCCCCCTCTCCTCCGCCTCAGTCCCTCTTCCTTGAAACGACCTCCTCGTCGCACCACCTGTCGTGTCGGTCTAGCGGGCAAGGCGAGAAGCTCCGCTTGATATCTCCCCCAGATTTTGCGAGTGATGCACTACTGCACGGATCGAGGACGGCCCGTCTTCAAGATGCGCCTACATATTTTTGTTTCAGCGCCCCCCGCTGTCGTTTTGAAAAGCTACAACCGTGACGCGGATGGATCACTTGTGGCCTGGATACGTAACGCCGCCCACATTTATCGCCCAGAGCAGCCCGCCACCAAGCGCAGCGCCCCCGAAGCCAACGACGTCCGTTGTTGGGTCGTTAATTTGTGGCCCCCCCAAGGATAGGTCCCTCTTCTGACGCCTTTCAGATGAAAGAAGTGTTAGGCCCGTTTCTCCCCCTCCGCCGTCCTGTGCCTTTAGAGTTGATCCTAACGGACCGCGTGGCCTGTTGTTCGCTCGTCAAAAAGAGCCGCCAGGGACGGCGTGTTGCGGCATCTTTGGCGCGTGCCGGCTTGTTCTGGCCCTTTTCGTCCTGTCTTGTTTTCGGTTACGCGTAAGAATGACCTTTCGCCAGAATGACCTTTGGTGCGTTTCTTTGGGTAGGCGCGCCGGGGCCAAACCCAACAGTGCAGGCGGCCATTGTGGCATCGCACGCAGCGATTGGCAGACTGCGTGCCGAAGGTCAATCTTGCCTGGGGTCACTCTTGCGTGTTGTCGATGCTCGTCCTCCTCACACTTCCTCTGGCTCCGCGCCTGCCGCCTCCAGATCCCGTCGGGGCTCCTGAACGCACCGCTGACACACTTCGGGGACACGACCGCGGTGCTTGCGGACCCGGACTTGCTGGGGGAGATGTTCGACCGCCCAGACGTATTCCAGAAGCGATTGTTCAAGTTCTCGGGGATCCGCCAGGGGCTGGGGGGCACGGGTCTCTTCACAACGGACGACGACGAGCCCATCCACGACCAGGCCGCCCGTATCCTTCTACCCGCCTTCTCCATGAAGGGCATGCAGGAGTTGGCGAGGGGAGGGAGGGAGGGAGGGAGGGAGGGAGGGAGGGAGGGAGGGAGGGAGGGAGGGAGGGAGGGAGGAGGAGGAGGAGGAGGAGGAGGAGGAGGCGGGAGAGGAGGAGGAGGCGGAGGAGGAGGAGGAGGAGGAGGTGGAGGAGGAGGAGGCCCACTGGCATCCCCCAAAGGTGCTCAACAAGCTGGCCTCCACAAGAGCTCCCGGAGAAACGTCGGGGGCTCCCAGAGAGCTCGGGAGCGCCCCCGGGGGGGCGCCGCGGGAGGGCGACGGCGGGGAGCGTTGGAGGCCGCTCCCGAGCTGCCCTGGGGGCCTGTGGATGCCAGCAAGGACTACATCCACGGGACGTTTGTGCACAGCCTTGCCACGCTGGGCTCCTCCTCCTCCTCCTCCTCCTCCTCCTCTCTCCCTCCTCCTTCCTCCTCCTCCTCCTCCTCCTTTCCTCCTCCTCTTCCTCCTCTCCCCTTCCCCCTCGTTCTCCTCCTTCCCCCGCCCTGCTCCCCCCTGCCCCCAGACATCCGACGATGTGATTGTTCAGTCTTTACCGCAGAGGGCTCGACCTCTCCGCGGGGCCGCGATTCGTCCCAGATCCATGTGGATTGTCCTGGGACCCAGTACCTGGCCCCAGAAGCCGAAATCGAGGAACATCGCGGGGACTGAATAAACGATATCATCGGAGATTTGGTAGCCTCGTCGTGCAGGAGTATTTCACGCTCATCATGGAGACCACCGAGGTGCTCACGCAGCAGTTTGTCGAGCGGGGCGCCGCGGGCCCCGTCGACCTGCATCCTCTCCTGAGCTGCTACACCCTGGACATCATCGGCAAGGTCGCTCCAGTGCAGTCAGAAGTGGGCGCTCGGGGATCGCTCCTCTCTCTCTCTCTCCCTCTCTCTCTCTCGCTCTCTCTCTCTCTCTCTCTCTGTCTCTCGGCTACGCGTAAGAGTGACCCTTCGCCAGAGCGGCGGGTCCCCCCCCCAGCACTGGCCTGCGCGCGTGGGTTTGGCCCCCACGCGGCCCTGCCATGCCGCGCACTACAGGTCACTCTTGTCTGGGGTCACTCTTGCGTGTAGCCGACTCTTCCCTCTCTGGTCGCCTTTCGGGCTTCGCACCCGGCGATTTTGCCGAAGGCGCCGTGCCCGCGGGCTCACGGAGAAAAAGTCCAACCAACCGAGCCACATCCTGCCTCATCCCCTTCCCCCTTTCATCCTTCTCCCCCTCTCCTCCTGCCCCCCCCTCTCCTCCTCGCCCTCTCCTGCTCCCCTCTCCTCCCTCTCCCTCCCACCCGCTCCTCGACCAACGCCCGTCCTCACCCCCCTCCCCTTAATTCCTATCCCCCCTCCGCTCCTGAAAACCATGCGCGCCGGAAGGGCAGACGGCCAAACCGGCCGAAAAGGCGCCGGTGTGACGAAACGTGTGATTTTCTGTGTTCTCGTGGAACGGCAGCCACGCCGCTGAACTGGTGTGAGCATGCTCGTGACGCACCGGCATGGCGGAGATGGGAAGCTGAGTTGCGCAGGATGCAGTAGAGTAGCGCCACGGTGCTTTTCCACCCCTCCCCGTAGTGGGACAGGCTCGCCTGATGCGGTGGTCCGTCCGCCCGTCCCCCTCCGCTCCTGCTCCCCCCATCTCCTCGCCCTGCCCCGGGGGCGGGCGGCCTGCCTGCACGTCGGAGGTCGGCTTCGGCCAGGACTTCGGGTCGCTCACGGGGCCGTGCCGGTTCCTCGACCTCTTCGAGGAGTTCTCGGCGACCCAGGCCGGGCCTCGGCGGCAGCCGAAGGAGGGAGGGGGAGGATCGAACGTTTTCTCTGTCCTTTCGGGGCCCTCAGGACGGGAGGGCAGGCAGGATCCAGTGCACTGTTTCCCCTTGGGTGGCCCTCCTGGTGGGCCCTGGGGGCCTCCAGAGGAAGGCGAGCAGTAGAAATAGAAGGATGAGGGGGAGGGGGAGTAGGAGGAGAGGGAGGAGGAGGAGGAGGAGGAGGAGGAGGAGGAGGAGGAGGAGGGAGAAGGAGGAGGAGAGGGAGGAGGAGAGGGAGGGGGAGGAGGAGGAGGAGGAGGAGGAGAGGAGAGGAGAGGAGAGGAAGGGAGGAGGAGGAGGAGGAGGAGGAGAGGAAGGGAGAAGGAGGAGGAGGGGAGGAGGAGGAGAACAGGGAAGACGAGGATGAGGGGGGAGGGTTTTTTCACAGCCACGCTTCCTTGTCAACAACTCTTATACTGACCATGGCGAGGGTAAGAACTTAAAAATATTCTCCCTCTCATGCTGCTGAGGGTGCTTCCCTTGGGTAAAATAAGACCATGCTGTACGGCCAGCTCCCGGCTCCTCTTTGCCGTTGCAAGGTTCCCCCAGCTTCACGACACGCCCTCCAGTGCTGTGGAAGTGGCAGTCGAGACAAATGCACAGGAATGAGCCGTCAGTGCAGTCTACTACACCGCAACGGTGCTTCACGTGCGCAATCCATTCAGTGTTCAGGCGAGGGGGCTTTGTGTACATCGGCCTGGAGGCGGGCGTCCCCCACCTCTCTTCCCTCGTAGACTAGAATTGCCAGAACGACCCTACACAAGCCCAGTCATGCTGCTCAGACGGATCTTTGGGCTTCGGCGAGGGCTTCATATATTCAACACCTGAAAAATCACCCTTGGGCCAAAGCGGCAGGAGCTTTGACGCCAGCTTGATCACAGCCTTGCTTGTTCTTGTATAACAATTAACTCTGTCTTGCACGTCAGGGTCAGGGCGGGGGTGGATAGAGGCCCCCATTTTTGCGGAAATGTCCGCAAGGTGATTGCCAAGACGCCTGAATTTTTCATGATCCGAGATTCCTTCCTCGTCGAGTCCCTTGTGAGCCGCGACCTTTCCAACTTCGCGGATCTTGCCAGATGCACCGGAAAAACACTCGACGACAGAGCCCGAGTAGACCCTCTTACCCGAGAGACGGTCCACGGTGCCCCTCGAACAAACTGAGATCACGCTCTGGCAGTCTGAGTGAACAAACGCTTCATCGTCTAAGTTGACGCCCGAAGCGGCTAGGGCGTTGAACTCCCCAGCCTGAGGGGTTTGGGGGAAGTGGGACCAGGCGGGGCCATAGCACCATCCCAGAAGAGACCTACAATCAGACACCCTAGCGAAAGACCAACCTGCGCGAGACAATTCTTTTACAGCAGACTTGAAACAACTGCCATCTATGAAAACGTGCCTCGAAAAACGCAAGCCCTCAGGTCCAGGAAACTCCATGCCGGCTTGGCGGTAACCGTCTTCGAAAGACTGTAACACCACGTGTTCCATACCCTGCTGGCGAATCGGCCCTGGGACGAAATCCCCCAGGATGCGGGAAGGCCCCAGTACAGAACAGGACAAGGTCCAAGGAGCCCGACTGGTATGCTTCAAAGGCCTTGCGAACCAGAGAATCGTCCACCAGATCATCTCTCTCAGATCTGCACGAGCAGAGCATTCCCAAAGACGGTGGAAGATAGAGTCTTTCTTCTCCTGGCAGACCTGGCAGAGCTCGTCGACCAAATATCCCTTAGATCTTGCACGCGCCTGAGTCCAAATAGCGTTGCATACCAGAGATCGAAGACAACCTTTTTCAAAGGCGGCTAGTTTCTTCGACTGGAGAGCCGTCACGATCAGATCGACACAGAGACGAGGGATGGCCTCACCAGCCCGATCGCCGGAAGGGGCTAAGCTGGCCGCATACCATCCTTCAGACCGCACCGAATCGATACCATCGAAGATGCCGCCCTTGACGAGTTTATGCAGTGTTTCACGCTCCAGGCTACGAAGGACGGCAGCGTGCAAGAGGATCTTGATGAAGGCGGGGCTCATCCGCGCGCATGAAGCCTCATTCCCCTGGTCGTCGACGAAAAGGGTCGGGTCTGTCATAGACCATCCTAGTCTTACCAAAGACATATACATCGCAGACAGACATTGGCCCCGACACCAATTTCCAGGACAGCTTCTTTTTGCTGTCGTCCAAGAAAACAGATTCCCAAGATGCCCGGATAGTAGGCCAGTCCAAACACCCACGAAAAAGATCAGACTTCAAGAGCCATACCTCCTTGCAGTACCCCACGATGGGCGACACCAAAGCATACCAAATTGGGCCCTTGTCGACGAGACTCAAGACAGTCAAAGACCTGGCCCCAGAGGTTGGTTTGACAACGCTGGCAGCGAGCCTCCTCAACTCGAGAACTTCCGTGGTAGACATCCCTACAACTTCCGACCCGTAGGCGTACGCAGGTAATGGGCCAGAAACAAGAACTTTCAGAGCTCTCCGTCCGAAATGTCTTCGAGGGTCTTGAGTTTTCGGGTCTTCCGTTTGAGATGGGACCTCCGAAGGGCCCGCTTGGCAAGTTTCGGCTTACCACCGCGGTAGCTGGTTCCAGCGGCATCGTCCACTCCCAAATTGACAGCTGAAGGCCTCCAGCCACCGCTAAGATCGCCAAGACGAGCCTCAATCACTCTGCGTGTAGCCAGGCAAGAACAAATTAGAGCACACTTGTCTAACGCCACGTGGTTGCCCATCTTTGTCGTTAAAGGAAGGAAGTCACGAGGAGGATGGAGTCGATGACGTATCTCCAAATGCCTATCACCGAAACGTTCGTGTTATCGACGTAGGCATCAAAACTCCTGAATTTGCCCAGGGGAACGGCATGGTCGATCACGCGCATATCATGACAATCCACACCATTCAACGAGCGAGGTATGGTATCAAAAGCATCGAGAGAGTGTACACGAATCAACGTCGTCGCTGCACTACAGTCGGCAATAGCACCATGCGTCGCGAAATGCGGGCCTGCAACGATGCAGGCAATAGTCATGAAGCGTGCAGACTGGTAAGCAGCAACGCAAACGTTCAACAGAGCGAGCGGGAATTGGTGCCTGCTGCCCCTCAGGCGGAGGGCTTCCAAGCATATATCTTCATAGCATTTGCACATGTACCAGAGGACCGAAGCAGAGTAGAGACCAGTGCGAACTCCAGACTCTGATCGAAAAGACT